CCGTGGGCAAGTCCACACAACGTCGCTGCAACCTGGTTTATATGTGCACATCTTTTGTTCGGAAGTCCAGTGAATGTAAATGTGAATGTAATGCTTGTACACTTGAGCGTATTTTGGAGAATAATAGGCCGTGCACGACGGCCAGTTCAAGAATAACACACGGTCCATGGACCGTCCCAGACTTCACGGACTTTGTGTGGGTACAAAAGTATGTTTAGACGGCACCCGGAGTCGAGTCGAGGCAATCTTGAAGTCTTAACCCGTCAGCCGTGCTTGTGTATACAAACAGCCAGTGCGTGTTATCACGTCCTCCTATGCGAACTGGATAAGCTCGCCCCTATTAGGCATTCCCCGATCTTACAACGCACATCAGAGAGCATTTTACAAAATGCTAAAAGATGGCGTCATTTCAGAGTCAACTTCACCATTTTCGAGTACAGTTGTAATGGTGTGAAAGAAAACAGGAGAGTAAAGGCTCTGAAAAGATGTTCGAGCTTTGAACAAAATCACACAATTTTTCATTACCGAGTATTTCAGATACCTTTAACAACTCAGGTATGAGTTGGTCTGCATATTTTCCACCTTAGATTTGGCATCAAGTTATTTGAAAATCGGTCTAAAAGAAACCGCTTTTATTACACAAGGCAATTTGTATGCGTTTAATGGTCTACCATTTTGATTACATAATGCTCCTAGTACTTTGCAATGATGAATGAGGTGTTAAGAGGTTTGCATTTGAGGCTTTGTTTGGTTTAACTAGATCACGGATCCTAGAGGGAAGGATGAATGACTGTTCTGAGCTCTAGGGCAAGAAAAGTACTGAATGGATTTGCCTTAATTGGTTGTATGCGTGATAACGAGCCTCAATATCCGTTAGCATGGTAATCGCCAACAACCGACGTTTTACATGAAATCTCGTTAAAATCAATCAGATGGTGTGCACGGTGGCACACCGTACCACTATAGTACCACTATGGAGTACCGAAGTGTGACGTCATTTAGAACCAGAAAGTGTAGCGCAAACGAATGGAGTACGCGCGCAAGTTGGTTCACGGTTTACGGGCTGAAACACGCGTGTCATTCACACACATTTTGTGCGCGTGACGTATTCACTTCGGTACTCTACTTTCTGAGAAGGCGAAGGGCGCTATCTCGAGATGCGTACGGCGCTCGTGCTTATTTGTGTATGTAGGCCTTTTGGCTCGTACCCCATCCTTGGGGGGGGGGGGGCTGAATTCAGCGTCCGAGACACGTTCTCACTGAGCCGATTGCAGCAACGCGATGTCGCGCACTGATCCGACGAATTATAGCAACCGCGCACGCGTGTGCGTCGTGTCAGTGCTTGCGCACGCTGCGCCGAATAACAAAACGAACTACTAATTTAAATTTCCTACGGTGCGTCTCAAGACGCATTGTTGGAAAGGCCTTCTTTCGTTATTTAGTTCAAAATGACAGTTTGCCAGAAAGAATAATTTCACAGGGAGTTTAGTCCCCCTACTATCTTTCAACCAAGTATGTTTTTCAACAATAATTACGCCAGTTACTTTTCGGATAGCTGCAAATGATGGACTTTTAAGTGATTTATGTGTATGTGTATTTGTATGTTACAAAGAAAGACCAACGGACGGTTTCTCATTGTCGGGAGTCAATTGTTTGTTTAACCCAGATAGGTTTATTTATTTGCTTGGTCTATGAGACAACAGGAAAAGACCATACCTTGTAATCTATAGTATAGACAAACACGACGAGGTGCACGATACCAACATAAATCACTAGTGTCAAGCTTTGGCTTGATGAGCCCTTATGTTAACTGCATCCCCTAACCACTGATCCTGAGTGCTAACAATTTCGGTTTCGGTCAAAGGAACTCTTTCCGCTAGTTATTTCTAGCGCATACTGTCAAAACTTGATTCGTGCAACACTAAAACCGGCCACATTTCATGTGTTTTGACAAAAGATCGAATGAAGTTTGAAGCGAAATGTAGCTTATATATTTACTTGTACAAAGACACAAGATCCAAGAATTCTTTGCACTTGCCTCCAAGCTCTTTATTTCTCCCTGTCGGGCGCCTTAATTGTACATCCAATTAATTTGTCAATAATCATTATCAACTTACATGTACATCCTAAATCATGATCATGTCCATCCAATCAATTTGTTCATAATCATTAGCAACTTACATCCTAAATCATGATCGCAAATACGGGCGATTCCCAATAGTGTGCCTCCAAGAGTTTGCAACGCGTTGGCCAATCACAATGCGCAAAATCTGTCGACCCAACGCCCGTTTGGAAAAGGTCGACTGATTTCGCGCATTGTGATTGGCCAACGCGCTGCAAACTCTTGGAGGCGCACTATTTGGAATCGCCCGTATTAGATAGCATATCTCTCATTATAATGCTTGTCAAGCAGGTAGCTTGTTCTAAACACACATATATATATATATATATAACTGGTCTCGAACTCAAAAGTAGTAAACTGCAAAGTTGTAAATTCAAGCAACAAACAGGTCTTTTCCCCAATCGGGTGCTTATTATATATGAACCCATGCAAAACTAGTTCCCCGAGTATTACCCTGGTTAGTCCCGGGACTGAGAGAGGTTGGGTCAGCCGCCCCATTCGGCGGATGGTTACTCCGCCGAGGCCGAGAGCCCCGTGGTCCCGATGCCTCCCCGGCGTCCCGGGCACCCCGTGACAAGGCAAATGTGAAGGGTCAAATGGGCTCTGTAAGTTTCATCTAAAACGTATTTATGAGGCTATATCTTTTTTTCTAATGATAATTTAAAAGCATAAACGGCAGGTTTTGTTGAGGCTAAGCTTTTGCTCTTGAATAAACTTCGCACTCAAATAATAAATACTGATGCGGAATTTCAGGTGAATTTCCAGTAATATTATTAATAGTCCTTGAGTAACCTTCGGTAGGTTCAGAAGAATGTTATTGCAAACGACCGGGATTTCCAGGGGAAATTCCAGTTAAACTCTGTCCTTGCTTTGTTTGTTCTGTCTGTTATCGATCAAAGCATAGTTTAATAAATAACTCGTCGGATGTGGGCAGGGTTAGCTTTCAGGTTTCAGGTTTCAGGCTTCAGGTTTCAGGTTTATTTATTTACATACTATAAGGTAATTAAGTAAATAATAAACATCAGGTAAACATTTTTACGGAACTTGAAATAATAGTATGGGGAGGAGAGACAAGAAGCCGAAGCTTGTACTAGGTCTGCCCCCTTCACAAAGAATACATGTAGTTATACAATTCATGAATAATCATAGGATATATCAATAATATGTCATTACATTAAATTCACGAGCTCATACAAAATGTTACCAAAAAAAAAAAATAATAAGTTACTTGAAGTAAATTTACCCTCCTTGGCTTTACATGTGTTGTTAATAATTTTACTTGGCAACAAAGAAATGATTTTGCTCTTAATCACCATTGATATTAGCCGTAGTGAGAAGTAGTTTTTTATAATACAATTTACATGCTCTAATTGAGGTCATTCGGCAGAGAGATCGAATTTTATTCCAAAGGAGGGGCCCCTGGTGTCGTACAGTTGAGAGGTGTAGGGATGTTCTTACTGTATTAGGATGAAGCTTATTTGACGACCTCGTGTCGTAATGATGAATATCTGTGTTCATTACAAAAAACGATTTAATATTCAAAGGCAGTATGTTTTTTTCAAAATTATACATTAGAGCACACAATTTATATTTATAAAGATCATATACAGATAAGGTGTTGAACTTTACAAATAGCGGGGCAAACGCCGTACATTTAGATTTTCGGTTTCCTCGTAACATTTCGTCGCAAAACTGATGCTTATAGGCAGACCTTGTGTATGGCAAAACAGCTGAAACTCGAAAAATAAGATTTTGATAAAATTGAGTCTCAAGTTTAAACATTTGACGTTTTGTGATATGAGACTGGGTAGGAGACAGATTAAACCCGTGAATATAGGAAAGTTTTATTATGTATTTCTCCAAATTGGAGCATAGATGGATTGAAGGTTCACCTGGAGTCAGTGTGAATAAACTGACTTCCACATTTCTTTGTTTTTCATTGTCCCAACCACGTGGTAGCCATGCCCAGGTCATCTATCACTAGATCCTAGTATGGACCATGGTACATCCACTAGAGGGGGTGTAAGTCTTGTGATCCTACTGGAGGGGTTGGAAATTGGCGGGAAAACCTAGTGTGCTTGTGCGCAATTACATAGGCTTGTGTACAAATGCATTGTTCACATAGGGATTACCTCGATCACCCCTGTGGCCAAAATGGAACTGTCAAATGGCATTGAGGAGGTTAGTGTCTGGTTTTATTGACTGTTTATAGGGCCGGAGTGATACCAGGGGTTAATCTGGGGTGAATGGTGGACTTTGAGGGCCGGGTAGCTCAAATTACATTGTGTCAGTGATTGATTCCATGCAGCTGTCTAATATCACAGCGCCAAAAATTACCACGCGAAGGGTTGAATTGGCATTCTTTGCCGCAAAATATAACAAGTACTTAACTCTAATACCTTGTTGGTAAAACAGTCAATCTAAATTAATTTAGACTTAATTGTTTTAAGCGCATCTTTATAGCGTACACACACTGAACTTATCTTCCTCGTATGATATTTGTTCATAGCTGGCACCTTCATGTTGGCACCTTCATAAAAGAGTGAGGCCTACCTGCAGTGCCCACCTTTATTGATTTCCACAAGGCTTTCGACACTGTGCAAAGAGGAGAATGATACATATCCTACGTGCATAATTATGGTGTACCAGAGAAGGTGTTCCAGGCAGTTGCAGCTGGCTACAAGGGCACTCGCGCCAAGGTGCTCTCTCCTGATAGAGAGACTCCTTACTTTGAGTACTGCAGGGTGACACACTGGCCCCCTTCTCTATTTGTGCTGGTCCTCGACTATGCACTGAGGCAAGCGATTGACGGCAAGGAAGAGAAGCCGGGCTTCACACTCACACCTTTAGGAGAAGCAGGCGGGTCGGCCCTGTCATGATGACTGACCTCGACTTCGCTGATGATATTGGCCTCGTATCTGACACAGCAGAAAAAGCGCGGGTGCTGTTTCTTGCAGTAGAATCTGAGTGCATGAACATCGGCCTCCACATTAATGCCAAAAAGACAAAGGTGCTAGCCTTCAACATTGAGGACACAACAGTCGCCACTGGCGATCAAGGGCGGATCCAGGGGGGCCAAAGGGGGCCATGCCCCCCCCCCCCCCCAAAAAAAAAAACGAGACCAATTTTTTTTTTATGTGACATCGCAATAAAGGCCGGCAATGAGTACATCACCATCTTTTCCTAAAAAAAAAACATTGGTTAAAGTGGTCAGAAATTGCCTCAGATCGCACCACAGAGCGTCTAGAATCCAACAAAATTCGGGGCCCTTAAGCGGGCCCCGAACCCCACGCCGTAGTTTTTTGGACCCACTTTTTGGGGGGTCCAAAAATATTTTGGGCCTCCCAAAAAAATTGTGTTCTAGATCCGCCCTTGTTGGTGCTGAGGTTCTTTGACCAAAGAAGTCACTGGTTCAAATCCCCGTGGTGTCCTGTTTTATTTTCTACGCACGCGGTCAGCACTTTAATTTCCCGTCGTAAAATACCAACAGTAACTAACGTGATCGGTTTTAAAGCTCTAAATGGGGCTGTCCGCGAAGTCCAGGTTAGCATCTTCGTAAAGGTACGGGGCTCTTTTGGCTGAACTCTGCGCAGCCAAGGCTTAGGGTGCCGCCTCGTTTCCGTTCTTTTATGGCGCTTGACCCTCGGGTTATATGGATGGACATATGGGGGAAGGAGGTGTGGTGGGCCGGTAAACCCGAGAGCTCAGAAGAATCCTGCAAGGAACTCGGTAATTGGTTCATTGAATTGAATTTTATGGTTTTTTGTGCGAAAACAGATTGAGAACAGGTGTTAATTAGTTATAACTCAAACAAAAACTCTGTTAATGTACACACAATTTAAACATTGTGTGTTCCCAAATACCAATGTTCCCCGAAATCCTTAGGATGAGGGTAGGGTAATGGTTAGGTATGCACCCAACATAAACAACGTACACTGTACATGACGTAGGCTACCAAGAACTTGAACAGAGATAACATCTGCAAACATGCATTAATCATTATTAAATCAGAAGGGTGGCATAATCTCACGTCCAAAGGTAACCACACAGGCCTGAAATAATCACAATGTTCTCGGTTATTGGTTTGCGAAAACGCCATTGGATAACCTCGAACTTGATCTTTGCACATTGTTCCCACTACAAGGGCGGATCGGGGGGGCAAAGGGGGCCACCCCCCCCCCCCCCAAACGAAACCATTTTTTTTTTGTATCTGACATCGCAATAAAGGCAGGCAATGAGTACACCACCATCTTTCCCTCAAAAAAAACATTGGTTAAAGTGGTCAGAAATTGCCTCAGATCGCACTACAGAGCATCTAGAATCAAAAAAATTTGGGGGGACCAAAATTTTTTTGGGCCCCCCAAAAAATTGTATTCTGAATCCGCCCTTCCTGGCGATGGGTCAGTGGTTGAGGTAGTGGGGGACTTTAATTACCTCGGATCCTACATCGACTCAACAGAGAAGGAGCTGAAGGTCAGGAGGTCTCTGGCATGGAGTGCGGCCCACTCAATGAGGAAAGTGTGGAAAGCCCAGCTCAATGACGACCTCAAGAGGCGACTCTTTGTAGCGATGGTCGAGTCTGTACTGCTTTACGGAGCTGAATCGTGGACCCTTACTGTAAAGCAGGAGAAATCGCTTGATGGCGTCTACACGAGGATGTTGCGCATGGCTCTGAATGTCTCCTGGAAAGACCACATCAGCAACATCGACCTTTATGGAGGCCTTCCACACATCTCAGACAAGATCAGGGAGAGGGGGATGGCTCTGTATCTGGCAGGCCATTACATCCGCCACCCAGAGCTAGCAGTCCACAACACCATCCTGTGGGAGCCGACTCATGGAACTGCAAGGAGGGGGCGGAGACGAGCCACGTACATCGACACGGTTGGTCTCAGTGACACAGGGGAGCTGAGGACCCTAATGCTGAATAGGGATGAGTGCAGGGCGGCGACCAAGTCCCGAGTTGGTGTAGGCTAGGCTGCACCCTCGCATTGCATCGCATCGCATCATGTTAGCTACTACTTAATTGAGAAATGGGCTGTTTTGCCATGGAAAACCAGAGACTCATGCATGACCTTACTCAAAGATATATATTTTTTTGGAATCAGGTAAATTTCACACAGAGTGTGAGATGGGTCATGCATTTTCAAAACCATGTATACAAGACATTAAAACCTTCAAAAAGATATTAGCGCCCTCAATATGCCCTGAAGCGGTCTTATCTCAATACTGCACATTTTCGAGTAAAAGGTTTTGTTTTTCCATCCGAAAGCCGTGGGTCATACACTCGGGTGACAGAAAAAGACGTGGCACGCCCTGCAGCTTGCTGTCTGGGTCTTCTTTTGCCTTGAAATGCAAACTTTACGTCAACGGAGAAAATGTTGAAAATCTCGGTTCTCTTTACACCTAACACGGCAGCCGTTTGTGACTTGGCTAGTCTTATTTCCAGTGGCGAATAAGCTATCAAGTTACTATATCCCATTTTATCTAAAATATGAATGAACACTAAAGGAAGTAATTAGTTTATAACTATCTTTAATTTAATATAAGACGGTTGCCAATACCATATTTTCAGATATGATTAGAATATCAGATATGATGGTGAAACTTTTATCGAAATACATTACACATGTAGTCAAACTTAATGGTTATCGACTATGTTAGCTGAGAACTTCGTATTTGAACCTTGGATAATCTTTTTACAAAACATAACTTTTGAAAACCAACTTCGTGATATTGGCTAGAAATGGCCCTTTAATATCATAAACTACCCATATATTGCATACGTCATACAAACTACCCATATTTAAACATGTGAGGTTTTTTACTCTCCTTGTGATGGAGTGTATTTAATGCAGTTAAAGAGGTTTTAAGTGTCAGTTTGTGTTAATCTTCATACAAGTCTCAAAGATCACAAAATCTATCAAGACCTTTTAGGTGGGTCCTCTTATTTTGGTTGCACGTGTACCACGCGCGCTCTTTCAAGCCCGCGTTTATTATTATGCTTTTATTTAAAATGATGTACATCACCCAGACGCAAATTCCATCTTTTATGAATAGTTCATAGCTGTACCCGTTGCTACATCCGATTCGAACCAGGGCTAGGTTTCTCTCTCTCTGGAAAACAGGTTTAGAGGCATTTTGGGGTTAGGTTTATGTGTCGCAAAATCAAGAGGAACATCAATGAAATCATGATAAACATTTGGGTTGAAAGAGTGTTAACAGTGGGAGTAATTTTTTTTTTTTCTCCGTGTTTTCTTAACCCTAAAAGAACTGGTTTTTTTGACCACCCCTCTGCCGGGGGGGGGGCTGACTCCGCCCCCTTCCCCCCCCCCCCCAAGATCTCGGCCATCGAGTGACGAAACATTTTGAAACTCGGTACATGCATAGAGCAACTCTTCATGACCATACCCAAGAAAATTCATGACTAAAGGTCAAGGGGTTTTGGAATTATGGCTAATTAATCATTCATAATGTACTAATGGCAATTCTGGTCTGTACACGACGTATGAGGGGAAATTCAGTTTTCACGGCGCGTAGCGCCGGACAACCCCTCGTCCGATTTGTATGTGTTTTGTTGTCAAATGATGCGCAAGGCTCGAGGCTAAATAGTTCAGTCGGAAAAGGGGGGTATCGTGCACCCTCGGAAATCAATTTCTAATCAACGTTTCTAGGTTAGAAAAAATGCGTAGAAAACGATTTGCTATGTTAAAAAATTCAAAAAATGTCCCACGTATTGTTTTTATGCAAATTAGTGCCGCCATTACCGAAAAATCTATTTGTAACTATATCTCAGCCAATATTGCAGATAACTGAACGAACTAGGTGTCTAAACCCATGTTTTCAAGGTCGGAGATCACAATAAAACTATTCTGGAAGTGACCACATGTGTCTGTGGCATAGGAATATGCAAATTAGTGCCGCAAATACCGGAAAGTCATGTTTTTGGCATATTTCGCCAATATAGCACATAACTACACCAGTAAGGTGTCTAAACCCATGTTTTGAGGGTCAAGTATCATTAGAAGACCATTCACGAAGTACCTATGTGTGTCTTTGGCATGAAAATATGTAAATAATAAAGTGTCGGTTTATCCGCTATTTGATTTTTAGCCAATATCTCGGCCAATATTGCACTTAACTACACAAGTAAGGTGTCTAAACCCATGTTTTGATGGTCAGGTATCATTAGAAACCATTCACGAAGTAACTATGTGTGTCTCTGGCAGGTAAATATGTAAATTCTAAAGTGTCGATTTATCAGAAATTTGATTTTTAGCCAATATCTCGGCCAATATTGCAGCTAATGTTGACAGAAGGGTTTTTGATAAGCAATAATGATCAAAGTTTATTTTAAGCCATCATATTCAAAATCAACTGTAATATTGGCTGAAATTGAATATAATTTGGCGGAAAATCATTTTTTTGATAAACCGGCAATTTAGAATTTACATATTTTCATACCAAAGACACACATAGTTACTTCGTGAATGGTCTTCTAATGATACCTGACCCTCAAAACATGGGTTTAGACACCTTACTTGTGTAGTTAAGTGCAATATTGGCCGAGATATTGGCTAAAAATCAAAGAGCGGATAAACCGACACTTTATTATTTACATATTTTCATGCCAAAGACACACATAGGTACTTCGTGAATGGTCTTCTAATGATACTTGACCCTCAAAACATGGGTTTAGACACCTTACTGGTGTAGTTATGTGCTATATTGGCCGAGATATGCCAAAAACATGACTTTCCGGTATTAGCGGCACTAATTTGCATATTCCTATGCCACAGACACATGTGGTCACTTCCAGAATAGTTTTATTGTGATCTCTGACCTTGAAAACATGGGTTTAGACACCTAGTTCGTTCAGTTATCTGCAATATTGGCTGAGATATAATTAAAAATAGATTTTTCGGTAATGGCGGCACTAATTTGCATAAAAACAATACGTGGGACATTTTTTGAATTTTTTAACATAGCAAATCGTTTTCTACGCATTTTTTCTTACCTAGAAACGTTGATTAGAAATTGATTTCCGAGGGTGCACGATACCCCCCTTTTCCGACTAAACTAAAAGAGTCATAAAAGCTCAGGTCGCGAAAAGGCTATCGCGGAAATCGGAGGGGGGGGGGGTATTCCGCCCCCGGCCCTTTTAGGGTTAAATACACGAATATAAAGGAAGTCCACAGTAGTTGTAAGGTAAGTCGTGTGTATTTGTGACGTGTGTAAGGGACGTTGAACTACATGTATAGAGGACAATAGGATCCCCAATTCCCATAGGTCCCCAATTTGGCGATCGCTTACAAAGCATATGGGAGGTCTTCCTAAAAATGTGTACAAGCAAAAAAGGGACAATAGGGGGTTCCCAATTGCAGGCAAATAATTCAGTCATTTGGTTGCTGAGATTATCCGATTACGTACTTAGACGCTATAGCAGATCAGTTAAATTCATGCACCACAGAAAAACATGGCCTTTTGAACGTTATGTTTCTCAGAAAATATACACAGTATGATTGAATAGTTAAATTGTAACGGAAGAAGAAATTCTTAGCTTCATCATTTCAGTGAAAAAAATCGCCGTCATCGATGCCGAAATGTCAATACTGGTTACTGGTATAGCTGACCCTCAAGTCTGGAAGAAATCGTTCGAAAACTTTCCCAAGTCTCTGTATTTATATCTATTTCTAGGAATTTCTCAAAATTGTTATTTCACGAGCAGTTGAACACTTATATCATAAGTATATTCCGAATTTCAGCTTAATATGTTGTTGCAAATGCTAGTGCTACAATTTTAACGATCTCCATTGAAAATTTGAAAGTCACATGCATTGTTCAGCAAAGCGCCTTAGGCGCTACGGTTGACCGATTTCGGCCAAGCTACTTTATATCGTTATCGTTTCGGTTTTGCGGTAACACCATGTGGTAATAACTACTGCTTAGAAGATATTAGTTCTGAGAAGAACTTGTCCTGCTTATTATCAACTTGCTAAGTAGTTTTTGTTCTGTTTAGAACAGTCTCCTGACGATGACTAGAGCAGGCTAGTCGAAACGTTGAGACCAAAGACAAGTTCTTTTAGAACTTACAGCTGGACTGTTCTAAACAGAACAAAAACTACTTAGCAAGTTGATAATAAGCAGGACAAGTTCTTCTCAGAACTAATATCTTCTAAGCAGTAGTTATTACCACATGGTGTTACCGCAAAACCGAAACGATACCGATACCCCACCATGCAAAGCCTCAAATCTTATACTTTATATCGTATTGTAGATTAGCATATTCATATGCGTCACTCGGCGTGTTTTGGCGTGGGTCTCGGTATCGACCAATGGAAGCCGGCAAAAAGGTTGATATTTATCAATTAATAACTCGTGAAGGAGGATTTTCTCAAAATGTTTACTGCACACCATAACGGATAGGAACCTCATTAATGTTTTAGGAGGCTTGAAAAGATTGACAGCTATTGCAAACGTCAGTGTTACAACTTTCAATGATGCACGTAGCCGGGACTATTTGTCTAATGTCAACGAAAGTAATGAACACATCACAACGATTTTCAGCACATATTTGGATCATTATGAGGAAAGTAAACCCTGAAAATTGCATGAAGATACGGTCTTCCAAACGGGAGAAATTAATTTTCAAAATTTTCGTCCGCCAACGTGAACATGTACGTGCACATGTAGTTTCATTCAAAATTTGGTGTTACGTAACCTTTAGAAATCGCCCTTCGCAACCGTATGCGTGAATTATGCTGTGTGTGTAAGCGTGCGTGCACCTTCACTGCCTTGTGAGGTACCGAAACAATGGGAGGTACCCCCCACGGAATGTTCACCGACTGGCGGAGTACCGTTTTGGTACCCGACAAGTTTTTCACGAAATAGATATAAGGATTTTACTCAAAAACTAGGAATTTCCAAGGTGGGTTGATTCGTCGCAAATGGAATAGTTTTAGAAAAGGGATTATTAA